AAGATATGGGACAAATGTGCTTCCTGATGGTTCCATGGGGATGTGCTCTGGTATGCATCTGCCTGTCAGGAAGAGTCACATTGCAGCTTAACATGCTGGATTGCCCTGGTCTTCAGAATGATCCTGAGAAAACATCATATCACTACTTTGATGTTCTACTTTGCCTTCCAAGGAGCAAAAATAACTTTGGAGCCTTTTGGGAAGTGTGCCCGGGAGTCTTCAGTGGTTGCAGGCAGATTGTTGAGACTGGGGCTTTGATATTCAAGGTCTTTGGCAAGAATCACAGGCTTGACCAACTGGTACCAGGTCAAAGGTTTTTGTATTCTTGTGAATTTTTTTTTGTCCCTATTGCCCAGGGATGTCATTGTAAATATATGTGCATTTATAAATAATTTTTGTATTCATTGATCATATGTGTTGGCTGTGATGTAAATATTTTTGATATGCCCAAATTATATATAATAACCAGTTATAATATTGACAGGTAGCTTCTCAGATCACAGATTTTAAATAACTTGATTTAGTGAGATCTAAAAACTTTATTTAAGGTATAAAAACTGTGGCTCACACCTGTAATCCCAGCACTTTGAGAGGCTAAGGTGGGAGGATTGCTTGAAGCCAGGAATTTGAGACCAGGCTGGGCAACATGGTGAGACCCTGTCTCTGCAAAAAATAAATTTTAAAAATTAGCTGGCCGTTGTGGCATGCTGCTGTAGTCCTAGCTACTCAGAGGCTGAGGTAGGAGGGTCCCTTGAGCCCGGGAAATCAAGGCTGCAGTGAGTTGTATGAAGCCACTGCACCCCAGCCTCAGTGAAGCCACTGCACCCCAGCCTGGATGACAGAGCAAGGTCCTGGCTCAAAAATAAATAAAAAGTTTAAAAAATTGACCTGTTAAGAAGTGTATCTATAGAGGCAGCTACTTAGTGATTGCATATATTAAACACAGTCTTAGTGTAATTAACCACTTTCTTCATGCATAGAGGTTCATACTTCTGGTCATTTCCCATCTGTTTAAAAGTGCTAGGTGATACTCCCTTTCTAACATAAAAAAGCTTGTTTTTTTCTGAGCCTGGCAGTCCTTTCACACCTGTATGCACCTAAAGGAAAACTTGTTTGGAAATTCCTCTCATTTCTTCCTTCTCTCCCTCCTTTCCCTTCCCTCTTTTTTACTGAGACAGAAATTGATTGAGGAAAGTTCAGTCATTCCTTCAGGAACCAGTGAGTTAGATCAGGTATAATAAAGTACATTATACTTTATGTATAATGAAGGCTTCAAAAACTGGAGGCTGATTTAAAGATTGCAGAACTTGGGTCGGAATCATAAGCAGTACTGTGACATGAATTGGAGCCAGAACAGTTGCTGATATCAGAACCATCTCTTTCATTCTGTGACCTTGCCGTTGCCATGTTTTGATGTGGGTGAGCCACTAGGATATCTGTCACTATCACTGTCTATATCTGAGTCTGCAAATCTTGTCATTATCTGCTTTAATGCTCTTTGAGTTGCAACAGGTGTATTATTTAAATGGATATTTGAAATTCTGTGAACAGGAATTCTGTTGGTACTGAAATAAGTTCTCACACCTGCTTGCTCAGAATGCGAAAACTATTTCTGAGTTCTCCTTGTTCACTTTCTAAAGTGACTGTTGTTTGGTGTTTGAGATATTAACTGAGTTATATTAGGTATGCTATATCTTGGCAAATATTCTCCATGATGAACTCTTCCTACTATGACAGCCAGGACTATGACTGGATTTCTCAGTCTGAGTGCCCCAGATTTATCATTTCTGATTGTGTCTGGAGAACATTCTCCTGGACATTCCATGTTCCAAAAGCTGCAAAAAGATGACCACTTCGCAACTATGGGTCAGTTATTTGCGCCCTCAATGTCTCTTGTTGCTGAATTCTAGAAAACCTCTCAGTCTGATTTACCAGGGGCTGTTGAAAAGTCTGAGATGGTGTATTTGTGAAATTTCTCACCATGAATTTGGAGGTAACCTACTTTCAGTTCTCGCTCTGGTTCTCTGTTGGTCTGGGCTCCTGCTTCTCAGTCTTCTCTGACCTCTGGTAGGTAGAACTTTCATTAATACTTCTGTTGCACTTTGTACCTGACCTAGGTGGCCTTGATAATGTTGACTCAGATTGTGGATTTTCCACTTTTCTCTGGCTGTTTTCCTTATTTTCTCCCCTGGGAAGTCTTGCAGATGATGCATGTTCATGTTCTGTATTCAGCCTTCCTTTTTTTTCTTTTTGCTGGCATAACAAAATATAGCCTTCCATTATTAAGGATAAAATTGATCTCTACATTGAATCTGAAGTTACCACTATAGAGCTTACTCTGGCTCACTGCTGTCCAAGCTTGGTTTTCTCTTTGCGCACTTCCTGTCATATTTTGAATTTGTCCAAAAGAGGTAAGGCACTCTATTACAGACTCATTACTAGTACTAGACATCATCCACCTCTATTTTCATCTGATTCTTGTGGGAAATCCCCTTTAATTTGTTGTAACCTTCTCAGCAACTCTTCTATACTTTCAACTATAGTGCCTAGCAAATTGTTATCACTCATAAGCCTGTAATCTTCATCACTCAGGTTATTTACAAATATAAATCTTCTGGAAACAATTGGTCCATCCAAATTCTGCACTGGGCCACATCCATCTTCTTCACTGTCAGAATCTGAGTTTTCTGTCTTAAAGAACAGCTGGACAGTTGTCTGACTGTTGTGACACAGTATTGAAATATCAGACTGAGTTTTAGTTGTTTCTAGTTGTGTTCACGTTGTGCTTTCTCTGAATGGGAATCTCTGTTCAGCAAAGCTTCATTGACCAGGAAACCAAAGATTGCTTCTTTTCCGAGTTTGATTTCTTTTTAATCTTTTACCAATATGCAGTATATCTTAAGAAGCGAAGAGTGCTCTTGGGGGTAGAAGAACATGTAAAAATTATTTTTTTTTTGAGATGGAGGACCTGTCTGTTACCCAAGCTGGAGTCCAGTGGTGTGATCTTGGCTCACTGCAACCTCTGCCTTCCGGGTTCAAGTAATTCTCTTGCCTCAGCCTCCTGCATAGCTGGGATTACAGGCACACCACCATTTCTGGCTTTTTTTTTTTTTTTTTTTTTTTTTTTGTATTTTTGGTAGAGACAGGGTTTCACAATGTTGGCCAGGCTGGTCTCGAACTCCTGACCTCAAGTGATCCACCTGCCTTGGCCTCCCAAAGTGCTGGGATTACAGGCATGAGCCACTGCGCCAGGCCCCAAAATTCTTAACACTGTAAAGTCTTGGAGTGGTCTTTTGTTTTGTACAAGTAATTATTTAAGCCAAAACGTTTTCTTGCATTTCCGATAGCAAAGGGCTTTAGGTAAATGAAGAACTTCACACTCTAATATAATGTAATTCTTTTTTGTGTTTTCAGGTTTCCTTGTTAAGCTGTTCTGTTCTCTCCTCTAAATCCAGTATTACTCATTAGATAATTTCAGTCACTTAAATAAAAATATCTATTTTTAAGTCCTTGTTCAAGGGTTCTAAACTCACATAATTTCTCAACATTTTGCCAGAAAGTTCAGCATTTATTCATACTTTTTTTTTTGAGATGGAGTCTTGCTCTGTCACCCAGGCTGGAGTACAGTGGGATGATCTTGGCTCACTCTAACGTCAGCCTCCCAGGTTCAAGCAATTCTCCTGCCTCAGCCTCCTGAGTAGCTGGAATTATAGGCATGTGCCACCACGTTTGGCTAGTTTTTTTGTATTTTTAGTAGAGATGGAGTTTCAGCATATTGGCCAGGTTGGGCTCGAACTCCTGACTTTGTGATCCACCTGCCTTGGCCTCCCAAAGTGCTGGGATTACAGGCGTGAGCCACTGCGCCCAGCCTATTCATACTTAATTTTCAATCCTATGTTTTCTCCCACGGGCAGCAGCACTTCTTTAGCTGTTTAGTAGTGCTACACCTTTTTTTTTCCTTTCACGTGTCAGCCTCTGATCATTTTCACTTTGAACTTCCTAAAGATCACAATTTCCTGTCCCTTCAATCTGCGATTCCTCTTCTTTCTTATTAGATTATGGTGTAGTTTGTACTAGACTGCCTCAGAATTTAAGAGACCTGGTTCGCTTCCTGACTCTGGTTGTTACTGGCTTTGTGATCAAGGGTGAGTCTTTTTAGTTCTCTAGGCTAGATTTTCTCATTTATGAAACAAGGATATTTTCCTAGATGCTCTAAAACCCTTTCCAGCTGTAACATTCTATTCTAGGAATCTGTAATTCCCTCCAGGAACTAAGGAGGATCATGCTACTTTAATGAAAAGCTGCTTTCATGACATGTTTGTTTGAGTACAAGACTGATACTGCTCATTCTGACTTGAGCCAGATTTATTTCCTTTATAATAGGAGTAGTGGTCTAAGAAATACTCATTAGGAGAAAAAAATTCTGCTTCTAAACAATATTAGTAAACAATAGAATCTTGACTCATTTGGAAAACCACTCATTGCTCTCTAGAGCAGCATGTCTGAATGCTGGTTTTATGGCACACTGGAGTATCTGAATGAGTTGACAGGCGTACCACAACTAATTTGTAACTAGTTTGTGACTCACCTTTCTAATGTATTCAAAGTTATCCCTATAATTATAGTACTCTCACTCAAATTCCGATAGATTTCCTGAGTGGAAAAGGTGGATTTAGGGCTAGGCTGCGAGAGACTGCAAATGAGCATCAGCTGTCATTTTGACATGGCAGAAGATAGCCTGTGAGCCAGTGCTCTAGAAAACTTTTCATGTAGGTGTGCTGCCTCTCTGCTCTAGCAGTGGTCCTTCTCCTGACAGTGCTGTCGAAGTCTGGTCTCCTGGAGAGCCAGGTTGTTTTCCATCATGTCAACTCAGATGATTGAGATGTTTTTCTTAGATATTCCTAGGTTGCCTAAATAATCAGGAATCTATTTAAATGTGAAGAGCCTATCTATCTCTGGTCTTTAAATAGACACACACACACACACACACACACACACACACACACACACACACGCAAATCTTAGGAAAAGGAATCTGTGAAACTTTATTATTGCATATGTTTTTGATCAAGCAATGCATTAACTCTCTAAGCAGCATTAGTGTCCCATGAGTGTTTCTTCCAGCAGTATAATGTCTGCCTAATGCTAATTTAATCAGGAATGTTGCAAAGCAAGGCAAAGTGAAATGTTGAAATACCTCCTGTCCCCACTGTCCCCTAGTGACCACTTTATTTCAGTAGGAATATATAAATTCTCTTGATTTGTCTCCTTTCAGGCTGATTCGCCAAGTCTACCTGGAAGAAAAGACAGTATTCCTTGAGCTCCATGCCCTACTGGCACAGGATATATGCTTATACCATTGTTTTTCTGTCAATCAGCAACTTCTAAAGTGCTTTCTTTTTTTGAGACAGGGTCTCACCCTGTCACCCAGGCTGGAGTGCCATGGTGTGATCATGGCTCACTGTAGTCACTGCAGCCTCCATATCTCAGGCGCAAGTGACCCACCTCAGCCACCTGAGCAGCTGTGCCATCACACCTGGTTAATTTTTGTATTTTTTGTAGAGATGGGGTTTCACCTTGTGGCCCAGGCTTATCATAAACTCCTGGGCTCAAGCAATCTCCCCACCTCAGCCTCCCAAAGTGCAGGGATTATAGGCGTGAGCCACTGCACCTGCAGGACTTTCCCTAGTATACAAGCTACTCTCTCTTGAAAAAAAATAGCAGGAACCCATTCCAATGTGCAAGTTCCCCTAAAGTGCCACGTCAGAATAACTTTCATGTTTAAAAACAGCTGTCTTCACACCCATTGTGAGGCTACAAAAGGAACATTAAGATGTCAAGCAATTTAGATTCTGTTATCCATTTCTCTATGAAGAGAGAGATGTGTTAAAAGTCTTTAGCTACTTGAAGGGTTGTCGTGAAAAATAAGAATTTTATTCCAGAGGACAGGAGTTATACACAGGGAGGTGTATTATTTACTTGGTGATAAATTTTGTGTAGGCTGTTTAATAAATTTATCTGGTAATGGAATAATCAGGCTTTTTGGTGGAAAGGTACATGCAGAAGCTAAATCATCATTCTGTTAATAGTGTTTAAGAAATTTCTTCAATCCTGCAGCAGCGTGTCTTTCCATTCAGCATGACAGATGCCTTTGTGTCCTTCGCCAAGGACTTCTGGCAGGTGGAGTGGCCACAGCCATCTCCAAGCGATAGCTCCCATTGAGCCAGTCTAGCTGCTGCTGCAGGTGCAGCATGCCAGCAAGCAGATCAACGCAGATAAGCAATACAAGGGCATTATAGACTGCATGGTCTGTATTCCCAAGGCGAAGGGAGTCCTGTCCTGGTGTGGAAACCTGGCCAGTGTCATCAGATACTTCCCCACCCCGACTCTCAACTTTGCCTTCAAAGATAAATACAAGCATATCTTCCTGGGTGGCATGGACAAGAGGACCCAGTTTGGCTCTACTTTGCAGGGAATCTGGCATCAGGTGGTGCTGCTGGGGCCACATCCTTGTGTTTTGTGTACACTCTTGATTTTGCCCATACCCATCTAGCAGCTGATGTGGGTAAAGCTAGAGCTGAAAGAGAGTTCCACAGCCTCGGTGACTCTCTGGTTAAGATCAACAAATCTGAGGAGATTAAAAGCCTATACCAAGGCTTTAATGTGACTGTGCAGGGTATTACCATCTGCCGAGCTGCCTACTTCGGTATCTACGACACTGCAAAGGGAATGCTTCTGGATCCCAAGAACACTCAACATCATCATCAGCTGGATGATCACACAGACTGTCACTGCTGTTGCCGGGTTGACTTCCTATCCATTTGACACCATTTGCCGCCACATGATGATGCAGTCAGGGCACAAAGGAACTGACATCATGTACACAGGCACGCTTGACTGCTGGAGGAAGATTGCTTGTGATGAAGGAGGCAAAGCTTTTTTCAAGGGTGCATGGTCCAGTGTTCTCAGAGGCATGGGTGGTGCTTTTGTGCTTGTCTTGTGTGATGAAATCAAGAAGTGCATATAAGTTATTTTTTAGGATTTTTCCCCCTGTGAACAGGCATTTTCTGTTATATAACATACCTTAAGCATTCTTGACAGACTCCTGGCTGTCAGTTTATCAGTGGCAACTATTTACTTGTTGAAGATGGGAGGCAATAACATTCATCTGACCAGTTTTCTCTTAAAGTCATTTCCATGGTGATGATGATGGCAGCCAATTACATTTTTTATTTTAGTCACTCCTGATAATTTGGAGAAATAAAAATATCTAAAATTAAAAATTCTTCATTGAGATAGAATATGGGCAAGATGACCTTTAAGGTCCTTTTCGGTTTTATCATTGGAAATCCCCAGAAGCAATCTGATAGTCTTAAAACTTTGTCCTTTCAAAGTCCTTTATATTCATTTAGAGCTCTTCAGGAAACCAGAGAATTTTGGGCTTTGGTTGACAAAAGGGTTCTGACCTCTGTTCGTAGCTGGAAACATGAAACATGAAATTCTGGGCTTAATTCTTCTGAAGAAATCTTTAAGTGATTACTAACATAAATGACATTACTAACAAATTTAAAAGCCCATGATGTATTAAAACTTTTACTCTTTATTATTATTATTTTCAGACAGTCTCACACTATTGCCTAGGTTGGAGTGCAGTGCCACGGTCTCAGCTCACTGCAACCTCTGCCTCCCAGGTTTGTGATTCTCCTGCCTCAGCCTCCAAAGTAGCTGGAATTGATTACAGATGTCTGCCACCATGCTCAGCTAATTTATGCATTTTTAGTAGCAAGGTTTTACCATGTTACCCAGGCTGGTCTGGAACTCCTGACCTCAAGTGATCCGCCCATCTCGGCCTCCCAAAGTGCTGGAATTATAGGTGTGATCCACTGTGCCCAACCCTCTTGATAATTTTTATTCTTGTTTCTTCTTATCTGTGGGACTCCAGTTCGAATGGGGTTGGAATTGTGGTGTTCAGTTTTATACTAGTATTTTACCCAAGTGTGTCATGGCTTTTTCTAATCATTGTAATATCCACAGAAATGCTGGAAGGGTAATGGAATAACAGGTAAATTTGCTGTCATTTTATGCCACATCCTCCTCTCTACTTTGCTTCTTGATACAGATTATAAAGGTAATTGTGAAAACAGCTGGACCTCAGAAGGTTGAGCTAAGATTCTTTTTTTGGCAACCTGCAAGTAATGTTTCATTTTTTTTATTACATGATCTCTTTCCCCATATAGTTGGCAGATGTTTTTTTCCCCTTTCCTACCTTAAACTTTTTTGTTTGGAGTACAGTCTAAAACCAACATCAGTTAGCCTTGATTTTCTTTCTTTCTTTTTTTTTTTTTTTTGGACAACCACCTGGTTCATTGATAAGAGTAACAAGTTCGGAACTAAGAGGTATGTTACAAGCTGCCCTTAACAACACCTGAAAACCCAAGACTCATCTGGAGGCTTTGTCAGTAGTAAGGTAGGTTTTGTGTGTGTGTGTGTGTGTGTGTGTGTGTGTGTGTGTGTGTGTGTGTGTGTGTGTGTGTGAGAGAGAGAGAGAGAGAGAGAGAGATGGAATAGGGTGAAGGTGAAGAAATTGACTTGTGCCTGTTTTCAGATAAAGGAGTAAAGTGATCTTTTATGAACTGTAACTGTCTTGAAAGAGAAATTGATCATCAGGTGGTCAAGTACTCTTGGAATGTCTCTTGGCTGTTTACTGTGGCCTCTTTACAATGGTGAGACTATTTCTACCCTCTACTTTCCAATATTCTTTTATTCCCTTATTGGATAATGCCAGTGTAAACAGCCCTGATACTAGATGTACCTAAAAAGAGGTATAAGCCAAGTCATTGTTCAGTGTAGTCATTTCCTAGTATGTTTATATTTTGTCACACATCAGAATGTATATTTTATAGAGCATGTGTTTGTCTACTTGTCTGTCTACTGTAATATGTCTTTAATAAAGCTAAAGTACATTATGATTTTCTGATCATCTTTTGCCTAATGTACAGCAGTGAAATGGTCCATTTTTGAGTTTGTATCCTTTTGAGGGGGTCTTCCAGTAGCTGTACAAGTGATAACAGGGCAGAGTTGTTGTCCTTTTAGTTCTTGCCAAGTCACATACTGCCTTGAGCCTGCCCCTGGCTGCCCCTGCAGCTGTGAGTTGTGAGGACAGGTACTGGCTGCTTTCCTGCTTCCTCCCTGGTTGTATCTACCCTGGTGCTAGATGTCTGGCAGGTATGCAAACAAATACACTTAATAATTCATTAGAAAATAAGAGTGCTTTCTGCACAGGGAAGGATATGAAGGCAGCATTTTCTAATTTGGTAAATCTTTGATTAACAGGATATTTGAAGAATGTTAATATTCTGGTCAACTTTGTTACTATACTATATCATAGGGGCCATTTTCTTTGAGGCTAGCAACTCTTTGAAAGCTGGGTTCATAATATTTACCCCATTGTGTACTTCTTTTTTTCTTCCCAGCTAATTTTTGCATTTTTAGCAGAGATGGGGCCCATCGTGTACTTCTACTGCACTTTATTCTTTACAAGGCACTTTCCACAGACATCTCACTTGAATTTCACAACACTCTTATGATACAGATTGGGCAGACAATTTTTACACATTTTATAGTTATGGAAACTGGCTTGGTGAGATTATCACTTACCCAATATCAAAAGCTTTTGTTTTACCTCACCCACTTCCTCCTTTTCTTTGTTTACAAACTTTTGATATTAGGTAAGTGGTGATTTCACCAAGTCCTGGGCATCCCATCCCTGAGAGCATTGGCCAGAAAGACAGCAGAATTTGAATCCAGGTTTTCTGATTCAGAGTTTTCCCCACTACGATACCTTCCAATTCAAGCATAGTGTCTTCTCTGTAGTTTGCATAAACACTGGATAAAACTTTCTGGACATGGATCACTTCCAGTGTGACAGATTGGACTGAAATATAACCTGGAAACTGCTTTTTACTAAATTTCTAATAGAAAAATTAGACTTTTTTTTTCTCTTTTAAGGTGACATGCAAAAAATATAATGCCATGATCTTTTTTTTATTGTTAATTGTCTTTTATTTTGGAGTGGGACATGCTAGTGGGAGCATCTTGCTGAGTTATGAAAGATATTTGTTCACACTTGTACATATTTAGTGGTTTGTGACAGTGCTTAAGCAATCTGTGTTGAAGGACTAGTTGCCATGGATCAATACTTTTGAAAAATACAATAAGAATTTCTAGAAAAATTAAGTTAAAATACAGGCATAAAATTTTTTATTACAGATTCAACAAACATAAAATTACTATCAAACTGCAATTAAAATTTCTAAATGCTTATTCTCAGTTTCTAGAGTTTATTGTGGACAAATAGCAAAGAGTTTGTGGATTGGCACAAGTCTGCAGATCAGTTCTGTAGTAGCATTGCTGTAACTGTATAACAGTGCATTTATATGTCAGGGTGGGAATCAGTTTAACTTATTTTGGGGGATCCTTTTAATCTTGCTGGTATGATATGATTGAAACTGAGGACTGGACTTTTGTCCAGAGGCCTCCCTGACTAGAAGCAGCAATTAAAACACCTTTTCAGCTCCCCAAATTCCTCCTGTTCTTCGGCTCTTCACTTGCTGGTTAGAATCATTTGTAGCATGCTATTTGTTTTCCAGGTCTGCTTTCTGGACCTGGATGGGCTGCCTGTGACTTGCTATAAGGGAAATTGTATCACAAGAGAGGGAAAGGAAAGAGGAAGTACACGGGTCATTATTCTGGGAGGAAGGCAGTCTGATGCTATGGAGTCTGATATGGGCTTGTGGGTGATCACTAGAGTAATGCTTCATCTGGGCTGTTTCATTCACCACCTCTACTGCTTTGTTCAGCCAGTCAAGAAATACTTCTTGAAATCTCTAGGCTAGAGATTTGTCCCTGTTCATTTAGTTCTCAGACCTTCCCCAAAGGCCAGTCATCAAAGGACAGACAAAAAGAGGCAAGTAGGAAGTTTTAATACAATTACTGCTGGGAAGAAATGATGCAACTAATAGCAAATACATTCTGCTTTCGCCTTTCAAATACTGTGAAGCATTTTACATACTTAACATTTATTTACAACAATCCCTTTGAGGGAGATATTCTTATCTCCTGTATTAGGCTGTTCTTGCATTGCTATGAAGAAATACTTGTGACTGGGTAATTTATTTTAAAAAAGAGGTTTAATCAGCTCACAGTTCTGGAGGTTTTATAGGAAGCATGGTGCCAACATCTCCTCAGCTTCTGGGGAGGCCTCAGGAAGCTTAAAATCATGGAAGGCGAAGGAGGAGCAGATACGTCACATGGCAAAAGCAGGAACAAGACAAATTGGTGGGGAGGTTCCACACACTTTTAAACAACCAGATCTTGGGAGAACTCACTCAATTCATGAGAACTCTACCCCCAAGATGCAATCACCTCCCACCCGGCCCCACCCACAACACTGGGGATTACATTTCAGCACAAGATTCGAGTGGTGACAAAACCCAAACTCTATCATCCCCATTGTACAGATGATGATCCTGGATAAGCAAGTTGCCCAAATTAACATAATTAGCAAGCAGTACAACTAGGAATTAAAAATTATATCTTCCTTATATCTAAGCACACATTCTTGCCCTGTGCCAAACAAAGGGAAAAAGTGAGCTTTTATGAAACTCCTACTTTGTCATTTAGCCTTTGTTGTTGGCTAAACTTGTTTTCCCAACCTTCTGAAATTCAATATATTGGTACCTCAGAGTATAATCATATTCCCAGATAAGCTCTTTAAAGAGGTAATAATGTTAAAATGAGCACAGAGCAAAGACCAAAGACCACGTATGGACCATCAAGAAGGAAGCCACAGAGAGAGCTCTCAGAAGAAACCAAGCTTGCTGACATATTGATCTTGGATGTCTAGCTTCCAGAGCAGTAAATCAATTGTTTAAAGCCATCTGGTCTGTGGAATTTTGTTATGGTAGCCCAGGCAAACTAATAAGGTCTTTCAGCAACACAGCCAGGCTGGTAAGATTTTCTTCAGTTTTGAGAATAAAATAGTCTCAAGCTGTATGATTTGCCAGAGGTCATGTGCTCCAAAGCCCCTGCTCTTTCTACTGAACCACCCTGTCCTCTGACCCCATCTGGTTCTTTGTATACTAAAATCTACTGTAGAGACTTAATATTCATATGGACATTCTGAGGAGAAACTGGAAGTGAAATTGATGAACGCACTGGCTAGTATGCTTGCAGTTCTGGTGCACTGCACATCCCCAGCCTCACGGAAGTTCAAGCAAAAGGCATCTGCAGGACTGAACTATACTTGCCACAAAACAAGAAACTGGAATGTCTTTATGACATAAATGAATGCATCTGGGGACAAATAAGCAAGTTATTTGGAGTTTTCAAGAAATACTTTTAAACGCCTGTCTTATTCTTTCTTCCCAAGGACAAACCGGATTTTGAAATCAATATGTAGGATCTCATATGTGGAATGACTGGCTGGTCTTGAGTTTACTCAAAATCAAGTAGTGTAATTTTGCCTCCTTTGTAAATGCCCCATCAAAGCCAATGTGAATTTCTCTCTCTTGAAAACAGTAGGTGTGTGGTTTAAGGTCAGCAGTTAGAGGCTAGTTTGAATTATTTATTCTGGGCAAGCTTCAGAGGCAAGCACACAGGTATATGCTCCATGCCAGAAACAGCTAGTGCAGAGAAGGAACAATTGTCATCAAACAGTGAATTACTGCCACCTCCATGGTTCTGTTCTTTATACACGTAACCTGGAGGTGGCTCAGGGACTATACAGATAGGCTCTTACTAAAAAGGAACTTAAGGTTAAGATTCAGGTGTGTGAGGTTGAGTGTTTTGACTTTTGGGGAAGCACAAAATCATCATAAATTGCAGGTCTGGGGGAAAAGCGGTGCATCATGTTGGTAGGGGCGTTACTTTTTGGGCCACACTCCTCCATGTGCACCAGCTTTCTCACACCTTTTCCCGAGCTCAGTCACTTGTCTCACCTGCCAAATGTGTACCATTTCCCAAAGTGCCCCTGAGTGCAAAACACTATAAAACCCAGGGAGGAGGCTGGGCACGGTGACTCACGCATGTAATCCCAGCACTTTGGGAGGCTGAGGCAGGCAGATCACAAGATCAGGAGTTTGAGACCAGCCCAGCCAATAGGTGAAACGCTGTCTCTACTGCAAATACGAGAATTAACTGGGCATGGTGGCGCATGCCTGTAGTCCCCGCTACTCAGGAGGCTGAGGCCGGAGAATCGCTTGAACCCGGGAGGTGGAGGTTGCAGTGAGCCAAGATCGCGCCACTGCACCCCATCCTGGACGATAGAACTAGACTCTGTCTAAAAAATAAACCCAGGGAGGAGAGAAGTTTGAAAACTACCCCATGTCTTCCCTGTTGAAAGCTGCAGTATTTCTGCCTTTGGGCAGCCTTAATTTAGAGAAGGCCCCAAGAGCTCATTACTTTTCTTAGTTCAGGGAAGAGATTTTGTAAAGATAAATCCCAATTTACAGAAATGACTGTTCGTTTTGACCAGAAGTCCTTACTTGTGTCTAAGTTCTGGGTGTACGACTCGTTAGTGAAATGGTTACTGAGGCTGGTGGAAGAATTTAAGAACAGCATTTCTTCTGTAGCTCTTGAATGCAGGGGTGTGGCTTTTAGAATGTCTTTGGTTACAGAAACAAACCTGTTCAGTTTTCTTTCTCTCCCCATTAAGCCAGAACATTTCCTTCCTTATTGCTCTTTCTACCTTTCCTCCAATCCCCAATAAAAGAGTTTGGTCAAAAGAACTGGCAACTAAACTCCCAAGTCTCCAGTTTGCCATCCATGGTGGGAGTCCCATGGCTAGGCGGGGCTGCCAATTTCCTGCAGAGACAGCTGGCTACATATAGCTACATATATGAGGATTCCTTGCGGTAAGCCAACGTCCTTGGGCCCTGCATTTACTATATGGTTTTTAAAAGTGAATGAT